GATCAGCGAGTCTAAAATAAGTGGACTGAGATTTAAGCATCTGCCAAAGGGAGAGTCGGCAATTTGAGCCTGACCAAGTGAACTGCCTGTCAGACAAGCAAATCATTACTCTTCAGGGAAACCTAACATGATCAAGTCTCCAACCCACAGTAAACAGGACCCAATTCAAAGTCACTAGAAGCCTAACATGATCAAGAGTCTCCAACCCACAGTAAACAGGACCCAATTCAAAGTCACTAGAAATAAAAAGAATCACAAAGACGTAACCCATCCTCACAATACAAGAATCAGCAGATGGGACCTTAACGCATCTATTCTAATTATTAGAATCTATTCTAACTATTAACGCAGTGATTCTAATTATTGCTAAAGGATATAAAGAAAAATATTCTTGTAGTGAATGAACAAATATAAAATCTTAGCTAAGAACTAAAAATGTTTAACTGAAACAAATTCTAGAACTGAAAATAATTCTGAAACTAAAAACTTGTTGCACAGGGACGAACAAGAGAGTAGAGAGGCAGAGAGTGAACACTTAGGACACAGCAGACGCCATTCAACCTGAAGAACAGAGCGGGGACCAGGTTAGAAAGCCATGAGCAAATCCGGGACCTCCAGCAAAACGTCTACATGTGTGGAACCGGGGTCCCAAAGCAGAGCAGAAACAGTAAAGCAGCAAAATATTTGAAGAAATAATGCCCACAAATTCCCCACATTTGGCAAAAGACATAAATATTTAAGTTCAAGAAGTCAGAAAACCATACCCGAGATAATCACCGTCAAAATGTCAAAAACCTAAACTAAAGGCAAAATCTAGGAAGCGGACAGGGGAACAACTATCTGAGATTGTGCTGATCAGAACAGAATGGAGGCTGTCACCAGACAATCACCAGATACAGCGAAGGCCAAGACAGTGGAGCAATAGCCTTCAAATGCTGAAACAAAAAATCTGTTACCCAGAGTTCAGTATCCAGGTGGAATAAAAAAAAATCTTCAGGAACGAAGGCAGCATTTTCAGACAACAAAATTCAACATCATTTTTGTCAGTCACACACCTGAATTACAAAAAACTAAAGCATTCCTCTGCCTGAAGAAAAATGACATCAGATAGAAACTTCAATTTTCAGGAGGGAAGACAGACATCCTACATGGCAAAAATACTGAGAAAACAAACGTGGGCCTCAGAACGCACAGGCAATGGAGAGGTTAGGGCCAGATCGAGGTCCCAAGGGAGAAAGCGTATCTCACCTGGGTCAGTCAGCTTTCTATAAAAAGCCAAGGAGTAAATATTTGAGGTATGTGAGCCAGACAGTTTCTATCACAACTCCAGTGCTGCCACTGTAGTACAAACACAGCCATTAACATGGGTGAATGAAAACGTACAGCACGTGCCAGTGAAACTTTGTTTATAGAAACAGGTGGTAGGCGGAATCTGACCCAGCCCATAGTTTGCTAATTCCTGGGTCTAACCAACAGGCAGCTGTGAAAGGGGCTGGACATTTAGGAATCAAGCCCGTGTAGAGATTAAAAAAAAAAAAAAAAAAAAAAAAAAAAAAATCAAAAGAAATAATGAATATGAAGGCCAGGCATGGTGGCTCAAGCCTGTAATTCCAACACTTTGGGAGGCTGAGGCGGGTGGTTCATTTGAGGTCAGGAAGTCAAGACCAGCCTGACCAACATGATGAAACCCCATCTCTACTAAAAATACAAAAATTAGCCGGGAGTGGCGGCGCACGCCTGTAGTCCCAGTTACTTGGAAGGCTGAGGCAGGAGAATCACTTGAACTCGGCAGGCAGAGGTTGCAATGAGCTGAGATCACACCACTGCACTCCAGACTGGGCAACAGAGCAAGATTCCGTATCCAAAAAAAAAAAAAAAATGAATATGAAACTTATATATATGTGCATATATGTGTGTGTGTATACATATATATACACACACACGTATATGTATGTGTGTATATATATGGCATTTGGTAGACTGTTACGAAAGTAACAGTCTTAAAAATGGGAATGATGAAAATTTCAGAATATTCCTAATAAAAAAGAAGAGAAATAGCTGAGAAGGAAAACTTTGTCCTGTACATTCCATTTCCCCGTGGAACTCTAACACCTCGTATACATGTAGCATAAATTTGAGAAACTTGATCAAAATAATACCTAAGCCATACCAAATTCTGAGATAATATAAGGACTGAAGCCTTAAACATGTGGCTTCAAGCCTATTACTTTACTGCCCTTTATTTCAGCTTTTTAATCAGTAACGTGAGGATAATAATTCACGGGGCTAATATAATGCCCAACAGAGGTACTGAAAACTGTATTTTTAAAATGTACAGTAATAATTTGTTAGACCACAATATCTGCAGCCAGTGAGAAAAATGGAGACAAGCATTTACTTTCATTTTGAGCACAATATGAACCCTTACAAAGACTTCAAATTATTAGCAAAGGACCTTCATTCACCAAAAGAAAATCAAAGTGATTCCCAAGCTGTTCTTTCATGGTCATGTAAATAATGCAAATGATGAGTTAATGGGTGCAGCACACCAATATGGCACATGTATACATATGTAACAAACATGCACGTTGTGCACATGTACCCTAGAACACAAGGTATAATTAAAAATAAAAAATTAATAATAATGCCACTTTGTGCAAACCAAAAATGCTATAAAAGTAAAAACAATGGCCTGCAGATGGGCTGAAAATACAGTCTGAAGTTCTATGGAACATTCACTTACGGTTTCTAATAACATTCTGTTACTCTGGCATTCAGCTTTCCTTGCCATATCGATAGTCCAGTATAAAGTGCCTTGACAAAACCTCAAAGCCCAGCCAGAAAGTTAAGGGAACAAAGTACTTTCATCACGGTTGGTAAAAACTGTCATGAACTGCAACAACTTGTGGCACAAAAGGAAGGCCACTCCCTCACCACGTTCAAAACCTAAAAAGACACAAGCTGAAGGGAAAACCAGAGAACAACCAAAGCCCAAGGGAATAATGTACTGTGATCTTTTCTGGGGGTTATATGACTAAAGATCAAAGACAATTTAGAAATAAAATGTGTCGACTTCATCAAATCCACAAGTAAAGAAACATCGCCCGGTAGACTACTAAAACCTAAAACTTTCCATGTGCACTACTGTTTTAAGTCACCTGGCAGGAAATTAACAAATATCCTTTAATGTCTGATGTAAACAAAGAACATAAAATAGTCACACAGAAAAAAACTGATGGCTGATTATTCAGAACATGCCTCTGTCCCTCCAAAGGAAAATTTCGGAAAAGGATAAAGCCTCGAAGCCCTAGTTCATCAACATAGCACGTTATATCAGGTTGGTGCAAACGTATTTGTGGTTTTTGCATTGTTGAAATTCGCCATCTGATATTGGAATACATTCTTAAATAAATGTAGTTATATATCATTTTAATGCATATTTCGCTTTATGGTTTTTTGCTAATCACTTATTACTTGCTGTTTATGTTTTAGACTATGGAAATGATGTTAGACAACAGACAAATTTGAGTGATTTTCTTATTCGAGTTCAAAATAAGTCATAAAGCAGGGGAGACAATTTCCAACATCGACAACGCATTTGGCCCAGGAACTGCTAATGAACACACAGTGCAGCGGTGGTTCAAGAAGTTTTGCAGAGGGGACGAGAGCCTTGAAGATGAGGAGCGGAGTGGCCGGCTGTCGGAAGTTGACAACAACCAACTGACAGCCATCATTGAAGCCGATCCTCTTACAACTACACGAGAAGCTGCTGAAGAACTCAACATCGGCCATTATACAGTTGATCAGCATTTGGAGCAATTTGAAAAGGTGAAAAACCTCAGTAAGTGGGTGCCTCATGAGCTGAGCGAGAATCAAAAAAAATCATCATTTTGAAATGTCACCTCTTATTCTCCACAATGAACCATGTCTCAATCAGATTGTGACATACGTCAACAAGTGGGTCTTAGACAACAACCAGTGACAACCAGCTCAGTGGTGGGACCAAGAAGCTCCAAAGCACTTCCCAAAGCCAAACTTGCACCAGAAAAAGGTCATGTCACTGTCTGGTGGTCTGCTGCCGGTCTGATCCACTACAGCTTTCTGAATCTCCAGAAAACCATTACATCCGAGAAGTATACTCAGCAAATCAATGAGATACACTGAAAACTGCAACGCCTGCAGCCGGCATTGGTCAACAGGAAGGGCCCAATTCTTCTCCACGACAACACCCGACCGCACGTCACACAACCAACGCTTCAAAAGTGGAAAAATTGGGCTGTGAAGTTTTGCCTCATCTGCCATATTCACCTGACCTCTCACCAACCGACCACCACTTCTTCGAGCATCTTGCCAATTTTTTGCATGGAAAATGCTTTGACAACCAGCAGAATGCAGAAAGTGCTTTCCAAGTTTGTCAAATCCCAAAGTACAGATTTTTACGCTACAGGGATAGAACTTATTTCTCACTGGCAAAAATGTGTTGACTGGAATGGTTCTTGATTAATAAAGATGTGTCTGAGCCTAGTCATGGTTTAAAATTCACAGTACAAAACCACAATTACTTTTGCATCAACCTAACATGTTATTTCAAGAAGCACTGTGTCTGCTTCTGGAAGGCCAGAAACAGCAGGCAAGCTACAGGATGCTGCTGGAAAGACCTGGCCTTCAAGGGCCCCTGCGCAGCACCCAGGGCACACAAGGAGCTGAGTCACTTGTCCCCTCAGTGGTCCTGATGTCAAGCCATTCTCCTTTCTCTCCCAGAGGCTCTTCATCCCTACTCTTCCTCCACGGAACACATTCTTGTCGAGTCTTTCTCTGAAGATTCCTGCTATACAAACTAGATAGTCTAAAATACAGCTTTTACTATAAAAGCTGATTTGATTTAAAATAACTTAAGTTTGCATCTTTAGAAATGTGAATTATAAAATTATTTCACACTTAATCCTTTAAATACCAATTATACCAACCTGAGTTTTGCAAATTTTTAGCATCTTACTTACTTGGTGCATTCTTCTAAAGACTGTACGAGCATTTGCTGGAAAGAACATATTTCTTCTAGATTTCCCATTAAATATGAAATGTTTGCTGAACTTAACCTAGAGCCAAGAAAAATAACAGTAAACATATGTAAACAGTTTTACTTATATTCTTCTCCTTTGCCATCCCAATGTCCTACTGAAGGCTTAACCTAATAAACTGCTGATGTCTTAGGCAAACTGATACTCTAAATTCTGTTTTACTATTTAACCCTCTATTTTCTGAAAATACAAGAGAACAGCCTAAGGTTTAGACTATTTACAGTTAATGCAATTTATCATCTAACTTACTTCTCACTGGTCTGCAATGGCCGTAGGTAGGTTGAAAGCACAGTCTGAAGTTCTTTAGAATATTCATTTTCTGTTTCTAAAATATTCTGTAGCACCTATAATAAATGATGAATAAGTGTTATTTGACATTTCAATTGCTATTTGACTCTAAGATTTATATACTTTGGACAGTTCATCACCATTGTTCAATTCATACTATTACTTCTATGTAATACTCAAGTATCGAGTATCACAGTACCTTTGTGATTATTGACTATTAAACCCATGTAATGAATTATTACTAAGGCCACACAACTGACTTTATCTTACTGCTAACCATATCTGACACAGGTATACCTAGGATGAAGGAAGAATTCCATCATCAGATGCCATGTCTGTTTAGATAAAAAGGAGAAGTCGCCAAGAATCACAACTGCACGGACACACAGATCAATCTCTACAACACTGTGTTGTACAAAAGAAGCCATTCCCAAAAAAGACACCCTGCATCATTCCATTTATATTAGTCTAAGAGATGGCAAAACTAATCCATGGTGACGGAAATCAGAGAAGAGGTAAAGGGTGGGATGGGGGGCAGGGGCAACAGGGAAAGGAGAATGAGGTAAATTTCTAAGGTAATAAATAGGTTCTGTGTTTTGATTTGGGTAGCGGTTACAACAGATATATACATTGTCAAAGCTCACTGGACTGTGCCTTTAAAATCTATGTATTTTAACATATGTAACATTACTCTCAACTAAAAAAAAAACAGTTTAGTCTTTAGATTGCATCTAAAAGTTGAAACCAATTTCTGCGAACTACAGACTTTCCCTCGTGAATAGGACCATCTCAGACACGTTGTTACCACATTGATTAAAAACTAAAGGTTTATCCATGTAAACAATCTTTACTACTTCATTTAAAGATAGCAAAATAATTATAAATTAACCTTAAAATAAAATTAAAATTTTCCCAATACCCTGAATTCGTGTAGCAAATTTAGCCAAAATAATTTAAGTCTTAAAAACTGACAGACAAATATAAAGTGCAAAACTGGTGAAACCAAGCAGGAATGCTTTCCACCAGCAATCACTGCAGCAAAGGCCCAGCCCAGGGCGGGACGAGAAGGCACTTGGATGTGAACTGCAGGTGCTCCTCGCACTCCTGGCACTGAGCAAGGTGTTGTGCACACACAACCTTTCCTCTTAGAGAAGCTGACTTCTCCCAACTCAAACAGCTGGGAAAAGCAGAGCCAGACAGTGGCCCCAGGTCCTCCTGCCACCGCGCCGCACCACACTGTCTTCTTTGGCATGAGACTGAAGACCGCGCTGAGGATCCTGAAGGACGAGACATAAGTGAAGAAAGTGGAATCCTTGCCTCCATTCTTTTTCACCCAACTCTGTTACAGAGCTAGTGCTTTTTAAATCAGAAAATCACATTACATGTATTTTCTGCACATCTAGTACATGTATTAAGATGTGCTATTTGTCTCTCAGAGCTAGCAATACATTCTCAATTACTCATACAAAAGAAATCGTACAGAAGTAATAAAGATATTAAACATGCTCAGTTTGTCCCCATAATTTTTGACAATCCAAATGTAAATTTAAACATTTAAGAAAAAAGTCATCAAGTTAAATTTTAATTTCAGCTTTAGTGAAGACAACCCGGGTCATTATTCTGTTTGCTACTGTTGACTGTAAACTCTGAGAAAGAGTATAGTCATTCCTGAGTAAATGCAAATCTGATTAAATCACTTACTAAACTACTTGGGCAAAAAAAATAGAGGCTCTTCCACTGGTGACAAGGAGCTCCGGCTCATCCCTGAAGGGATCTATTCATGGGAGACGACGGTGGGAGAGCCAGAGCGAGGGGCCCTGCAGGGGGCTGGCTCTTCAGGGGAAATGCTGACCCCACAACCACAATGTCTTCCTTCTATGAAATTCCCATTGAACACAAATGTCACAGGTCTGGTGAGCAGAGGCAAACCGTGATGCCAGCCACCACACCCCAGAGACACTACTCTAAGCCAGGCCTGTCCTCCAAAGCAACGGGAGAAGCCAGTCAAGCATAATGGGAAGTCAAGCTAAATAAGATAAAGTAAGATCTGTCGCAGACGTATCAGAAAAGGCCTTTTCAGTGTTAAAGATAGGAAATATGATTTAGCTTCTTAATTACAAATATTGGATACCAACTTACCAATACTGCTCATTGCACACCTGACGATCTATACACTTATTTTCAAAGAGAAAACTGTTCCTATGTGAGATAAGAAAGCAGCCACTAGAAACTATCACTAGCACGAATAAGAGAAGAATAAAATACAGTGACCTTTTGTCCGTCACAGCACTAAGCACTAGTTGTAGAAATGAAAGCTTCCCATAAGCACCAAAAATGACTCCAAAGAGCCTCTGCCAAAAGGCTACATTCGTTAACATAGTTAAGTTGGTTAATTCAACAAATAGTCTTAAACACTACTTTCAAATAGGGTGCTAAACACAACTCCTGTATTACTCCCAACCAAACAATGCAAGTTACACTTAACTTTTCCTCAAACACATAGCCAGGCCTGGCTCCCGGGCTCCAGCTGGGGTGCCCACCCCCTCTGCCAGGAGGTTGTTGGCCTTCCTGACCTCAGGGCACAGCCCTGGGAGCCACTTACCACCTTTCTTCCCCTCCTTGTCTTCTGCATGCTCTGGCTGCTGCAGGACCCCATGAGACCTCACAGCCTGGCCGCCACAGCTCCATCCCCCCAACGCTGGGAACCCAGAGGACGCACGCAGTGTTCAGAGAAAAGGCAGCTTTTACAACCCACAGTGCTGAAGAAAGGCCCAGAGAGCTGAGCTCAGCCAGTGCCAGCTTCCCGGGGGTCACGAGGCGTGGAGAGGCAAGTGCAGTCAAACACTGGTGCCACTCAATCCCTACGCTGCCCGCCTCCGAGCACAGCAAAACAAAGAGGACTCACTGCCGCCCCTCGCAGACACAGACACTTGATTCACTGCATCGTTAAAGGAGTACTTAGTATTTCTGATTTTACAAATGGGTTCCAACTTTCACTGTCAATCTTGGTAGGTGTTTTATGTTTATGTCATCATAGCCTTTAAAAACAAATAACTGATCTACATAAGAGAACAAAGAACATTAATTTTTTTATTTCATCTGGATAAAAGGTTTTTATCATCATAAAACCAAATTTCCATAACCCAATTCTATTTTTATTTTATTTTTTATTTTTTATTTTTTTTTTGAGACGGAGTCTCGCTCTGTCGCCCAGGCTGGAGTGCAGTGGCGCAATCTCGGCTCACTGCAAGCTCCGCCTCCCGGGTTCACGCCATTCTCCTACCTCAGCCTCCCCAGTAGCTGGGACTACAGGCGCCCGCCACTGCGCCCGGCTAATTTTTTTCTATTTTTTAGTAGAGACGGGGTTTCACCATGGTCTCGATCTCCTGACCTTGTGATCCACCCGCCTCGGCCTCCCAAAGTGCTGGGATTACAGGCGTGAGCCACCGCGCCCGGCCAACCCAATTCTAATGTGTAAGTCCAAGAAGAAAAACTAAAAAGTGGCACAATTATTCAAAATCTACTTACACCCTACCTAATCAGCCCCTCCCTGTCCACTGCTACAAAGAAACAAGATCATCCTTTAATGTTCTCCATTCCAGTCTGTTTACACTTCAAGTACATTTTCAAAAAGTCAATTACAAGACAGTAGTTCACCACACAACGTAGCCTCTAATAAACATCTGACTACAGGGAAAGGAAAAGGAAAAGGAAGGAAGGAGTGTTGACAAGAAATCCCGGAAGCTCCTGCTGGCTCATCTACAGGTCACAACGACATCAGGCAGTCAGTGGCTCCCCAAACACACAGTTACTGATTTAATGTAGTGTGTTAGCACTGGTGGTCCTTACTAATACCTAGAAACACTAGCTCTCAAAAAGTCTGGAGGGACCACATACATGCTTTTCTTTTATGACACTGTAACTTTTGAAAGAAAAGTTACTCTATTACTTTAAAATTTGGGGATTCACAGGTCTTGGGGCGCGTTTCTCCCAATGTTAAAGGTTTACAGGCAATGGCTCCTGCAAAGTCTCCAGCCCCAGGGGGAAGCGGACACTGCCAACGGCACCTGCACAGCAGCATGGCGACAGGTAAAGAGCTGGCCTCTGCAGCCAGGTGGACCTGGGCTCACAGCTGCGCTCTGCCACTGCCTGCCTGCAGCTGGACAAGTCTATCGGTCTGTTTCCCTTTTTCACAAAAAGGGATTTTACGGGGTTGTGATGGTTACTCAAGAGTGCTAGTCCTTGGCTTATAGCAGGAAGGCATCTAGTCGGTCACCCTTCGACCTTCTAGCCCAATGTGGAGTCTTACTTGGAGCTGCTGCTTAAATGACTCCTTCAGTCAGGAGGTAATTACTTCACAAGACAGCCTTTCTTGCAATTAAGCCACTGGATTCTCCCAAACACTGAGCTCCTCTCTGTGTCAGCCTTCCACTACTGCCTACCTGACAACCTTCATCTGTATCATCTGAGTCCAGATACAGCAAGGAAACCCCATGAAAAACAACGGGAGCCAAGTGTGCAAGACGCCAGCAGGCACCTCGTTGCCCAGGAAAGGAGGGGATCTCACAAGCTGCACACCCTCCCTGATACCTCAGGGCCCCTCCTCATCAACCATCTCCACCTACAGGCCCCAAGCAGAGACTTCAGGGGTCAAAAGATTTAAAAGGAAATCTTCATCAAGGTGGAGAAAAGCCAAGGGAAACACAGAAGATGAAGAGATGAAGCAATGCCAAGGTTTAGGGTCAGCGCTGATGGATGGAGACAGAGGACACCCTGTCACCAGGAGTCTCAGGTTTTCCTCCTTGGCCTGGCATCTCAAGGCCACCGGAAACTAAAGGAGTAGGGAGGAAAAGACAGGCGTGGGGCTTCTCTGGAGCACAGGAAAGGCCCGTGGACACGTGTGATGGCATCTAAGGATATATAACCGCTTTGTACCTTTATGGATTAAAATGAGTAACTGCCACCTATTGCATTATATTCACAGTATTACAATTATGCACTAACAGGGAAAGTGATACGGTCTGGCTCTGTGTCCCAAAAATCTCACCCTGAATTG